CCGAGATTAAAGTTAAACCGCATTGGTAGAAGCGGGTATTAGTCGGATGTCGCGACCAAGGGGGTAACCGCTAGCTAAGATGTCGTCCCGCCGATTACATGATTTCATCGGATTGCGAAGAATTTTCTTATATGCACGTTTAAAAATAGGCGACGTTGTTAAGAGCTGTTAGATTCCCTCGAAACATATCTTTTTTGACCCAATCATTCTGTCACTGACAATAATAAAAGGGGGATGATAGACTTGCGATACGAAGATACAGATATTAATTACTCACGCAGCGATTCACGCTTCTAAATATTCAGGCCCGGTTTTTCATCTTCTGGTTAACTGTTGACCAGAAGTTAGTGGACTCTCCATCTTTTTCTATGTTATTGCCTGAGAGGAAACAGAGAATGGACCTCCGGTTAACGATTAACCACACGGAAAGACCGGCTAAGGCACCAATAACTAAAATTAAAATGTTGCCGTGTAAATAGTAGAGGCATCTATATTGTTTTGTGTTGCAACATTCACTAAGTTCGCTGCACAAAACGGATATAGTTGTCTCCACTACTTATACCAATGTGGGTCTGACAACTACAGATATAACTGTTACAAATATTACTATTTATTGGGGCTGTGCCAACAATTAGACATGCGGTAACCATATCGGTCTCTCTGCGATAAGAAAGTGAAAGGCCGGGCCTCAGGAACATGGAATTTTTCCAAACATTACTGCTACATCCCTTTTCTTATCTCCAGATGAGTCACAATTAGAGGTGAGTCACTTACAATTGGAGGATTGGCGCGCGGGGATCGGAGAGCGGGGAGAAAGAAGCCTCACGGTACGGTGATTTTTCACTAATCTTCATCTTTATTATTACTGTGTAAATATGTAGGCACTGAACAAATAATTTCATAATTTGTTTACAAACATTTACACTTACTGATCTTCGTCTTTTGTTCAATTAATGAATATTCTCCGCGGAGAGCCGCGCAGCCCCCGGGCTGGCCGACCGGGGCTGCCTATACGTGTATGTACGTGTGTATATTTTCCGCCGTCTACGCCCGAGCCTTAATAATTCTTAAACGGTAAACATACCGGTTGTCGTCTTCACGGCATTGTATGCGCTCGACCCCAACTTCTATAAATTTGCGACCTCGATAATCGCCCTATCAATATAATGTGTATATTGATAAAGCTTTATGTATACTTCAATCTCTATCCACTAGGTATATTGTTCTTCTAAGCCTAAAATTACCACGTTTATTAAAGGTATATATATATGTATATATATATATCTCTCTATCTATCCTCAGAGAAATTATAATTAAAATTAATAGCAATCATGATAACGTGTCAATTATATACGTCGTGTGGGGGAGGGGGTGGGACGGGAGAGAGGAGGAAGAGGGGTGGACGGGACGCTGGGGGTGGGCGGGAGGGAGAGAAGGTACTAAAAGATAAAAACGCAAATTCTAGCTTTGGCTACAGAGATACATGACATTTCGCGTCTTCAGGAGCGCGACGTGTCGGGGGATCCTCCCGGCTCGCGCGTGTTCCATGTCCGCTGTCGCGCTCCCCGGCTTCGAAAAATGTCGGACTAAGTGAAGAGAGAATTGGTACAGAGTCTTGAGAGATAAATGAGCTCGAGAAAACGCGTGTGTGTAAATTCGTCTCCGCGAATGTGCGTGTGTATGCGTGTACGTGTGTGTGTGTGTGTCTGATGATCGCGTTCATCGGTGAAAGAATGTAACTTTACATAGGATTCGAAGTATCGTCGGCTGATCCGCCTCTTCAGCCTCTTTTCCGTGTCTCAGGTATAAAACTAAAGGAGGCGGCCCGGGCGGGGCCTTTTTGCAAAACTATATTCATATATTTTGTTTCTCTCTTTCTCTATCTCCCTCTTTCTCTATTGCGCTCAGGTGTGTGCAGGTGTGTTTGTCAGAAACGTTTCTTCTTTTCCTTTCTTAACACTGCAGGCAGGTCGACAGATTTGACTGTACGTGCGTGTGTTATACATGAGACACTCCGTAACCGGGCGTGTTATCCAACGCGAATGCCTTGACGTGACGTTATCACCGATGATAATGACGACGATGACGATAATGACGATTGATGCGCGCGTGAGTGTCGCCGAATGAATTTCTCTTGCGTTAATTTAATGATCATCCCGTAAACGTCGATGTCGCGGTGGTCCGTTTTTGGAATAGCTATAATAATTATTATAAATATATATATATATATTTATATGTATATTTATATATGTATATAATAGGTCCATGCGTTTTCTTCTCCTTTAATGCGCGTGTAATGCAACGTGTATGACAGTGAAGAGCGTGTATACTAGGAATGTACATAGTGTACGTAGAGATATTTAATTAGGTTGTGTATAAAACGATGATACATACTATTTACTCGTTACTCGTTTATATCAAACGACACATAGTTTATGATATCGATTTTTTTTTAGTCTCATGGTACGACGTTCCAGGGCACAGCGGCGCGTCGTTTGCCAATAGGCTAATATAGTCTTGTCCTTGTCTTCTCGTACAATCGCGATCTCGCGCGGTCACGCATCCACGCTGACTCGCACTCTCTCTTTCGCCCCTCTTTCGCGCGAGAAAAGAAAATAATAAAACGATCGCGCGGTTATGATACAAGAATCTCCGCCGGACGAATGGTCATCGGCCTGCGAGCGCGCAATTTGGCGTAAACGCGCGCCTCCGGACGACACGCCTGCGTCTTGGACTCGAGTTGCGTTTTGTACTGGAGTGAAAATTCGCCGGCGTTAAAAAGGGAACGAAATTTGCATACGCTCAGGTAGATTCAGAAATTTGTAAATGTTTCACAGACCAGTATGTAAATTACATTTATTATAATTATTACATATATGATGTATAATAATTTGCGGGTAAAAAGAGAACGAATACATGTAATTTGAAAATTTATATAAATTCTAAAACATTTACAAGTTTCCGAATACGTCCGAATTTTTCCTTTTGTCCATGTGTATATATATATATATATATATATTTCTTTTAAAGTAAAATCGAGAGAGATGTCGCCATTACATGTAATTCAACAGATAAAAATCTGTTTTGGTAGATTTTATATAATAAACTTAAAAAACTCTGATACAGTATAAAAAAATAATATAAATTACAGATTAATAGTAGTAAAAGTAAAATTATAAAATAATTCCAAGCTTTGATATCATCATCATTTGTTCCACGGCTCGACGCTCGAAAACATGACCATCCATCCGGGTATCAATATATACATATATATATATATTGATCATTATTATTAAATATTAATACTTCTAGTCGTATACTCTTGCTAGAGTAAAAGTGGTCTCGCGCGTCCCAGATATAAACATACCCGAACGCCATAGGCAAATACAGTGTGTATCAGCGCGTGTATTCTTGCTTCCATGATATGCGATAGATACTAACCTAACGAAAGTTGTCCTTACATTTCTCATTTGGTATTCTTAGTCTTATTTTATTTTACTTTTTTTTTAAAAAAAAGAAGAAGTAATCCTGTACTTCATACGAAGTTTCGATGAAAAGATACAATGAATCTGACGAGTCATTAAATTAAATGGCGAAGATGAACAGATCTATTCTTTTTTCTTTCTTTTTTTTCCTCTTATATAATTTAAGAGTTACAAATAAAATTATTCATTAATCGTGCGGTGCCTATAAAATTATACACATACGTGTGATAAAAGTAAATTGGTTCCGAGCACTCGTAAAGTAATAAAAAAAAGACCTCGCTCTGCCAACGTCCGAAAAGAAACGATTCGTCGTGTTAAATATACAAAGTAGACTAAAGAAAGTACTTAATTCGATACGTTGGATAAGTCTTCGGCGCGTCCGCCGGAAATACTTTCTCTCGCAGAATTCACAACTGTGTGTTTGCACGTATATGCCTGTGTGTATCTCGTATCTGAGTGCGCCGCACACTTATCGAGAGTCTCGATACGCTTATCGTTACGCTTTTTTTTATATTTTTATGATTTTTTTTTCTTGGTTTACCTTAGTAGTCAGTCGACTTCGGGGTCCGTTTAGAAAGAGAGAGGTACATACATGCCCGCATTCGCGTAGATCAAGAGCGACGAATGCGTCTCTTGATTTTTCGTTTCTAGTAAATATCGTACATCGCTATATATTTACACGTCTCACGGCACCTCTGATCTGTTGTTTTTTTTTCTCTCTCTCTCCCGTTTCCTCCTCTCGCCACAATGAAACCTGCACCGCCACGAAAGAGAAGCCGTCTCTCACCGTACTTCGTACGGCATTAGTTCCGCTCGTTCGGATTACTTTACAAGTACCCTCCGCGATAATGAACTCTCCTCTTTAATGCAACCAAGTCTTATATCATCGAAAAATATCATCGGAGATACCTCTGCTATACTAATTCTTACTTAGTTTTACCTTCAGCGAACAGGAATACTCATTTCCAGTCAATATCTCAATAGAGTACGATTATTGTATATGTATATATATATATTTTTATACATATATATATGTCGCTGTCTGGGGGTTTCCCATTTCTTTATCTAACTTAACGTAGACATCGCGCCTGTGAAAGCTTACGAAAAAAGTAAACTAAACGGAATCGCGACTTATACATAAATATGGAGAGAACAACGATACAGTGCGTAACAGCATTATCGTAGCCATTGTCCATTCTGAATATCAATCGCTTTTAAAATTTTCAATGATTGCACCCGAATTTACTATCTTTCTGTCATTTTAATGACTATGACATTTAAACGTTGCTTTCAAATATTGCACATTTTCTTTATTCGAACATTGTTTATATAAATCGACGAGAATCGTTCCAATAAAAGTATTATTAAAAATATTGTCGTGGCGATCGTGGCGCAGAGGATTGTGCGCTGGTCTGGTAATCCGAAGACCTGGGTTCAAAACCAATTTTCGTTCGATCGCCACACATAAGAGAAGTGGATTAACACTCACATGAGCGCTGAAAGCGTCATTAATCTAAAAAAAATTAAAAATATTGTCTCGTAAAAGAAGAAATAAAAAAAATATACACACAAGTATTATACATTTAAAAATTAGAAATGTTATACAACTCATCGGTATAAAACAAAAACAGAATAGTATACATTTGCTATTACCGTGTTCCGTTACATGCATAAGGGACTGTCTCATTAACGTTGCCAATACTCGAAGAAAAGGCAAAGGCGCGAAATTTGTGCAACGTGCAAAAATTACCACCGGATCTCGGCGGCAGTCTTCATCTCGAGCTCTTTGCTCTTGATGGCGTCCACAACGCGGCGCGTGAACGGTTCCTCCCAGAACTCCTGTCGACGTCCCGTCGTCAAGTAATCGTTCATCTTTATTACGTCTCGGAATTGTTCGGGAATCGACAGATTTGTGGCGTTCGTGGTCTACAATACGAGTCGCAGAGTCGTAGTCGTAAGAATAATCGACTGCGATTGTTCAATTTCGTCAGACACATAAGAATTGACCAATCATAGTCGACTATTCTTACGACTACGACTTTACGACGTCTATGTAGACGAGGCTTTAGAGTTTGACGGAGTGCTAGCTGCTGCAACGCCTTTGCCTGTCTAGTTTGCGTTTCTAAAACTAAGCCATTGTACGCACCGTTTAAAAAAAAAACTGCGTAAAATATTTCGCAAAAAAAGAAATAAACATTTAAACATTTAAATTTTTTTTCAAACCGATCACAGGTAGAACAAACGATTTCTAATGTTAAGGCTTTCGTCATGAAAATATATTTAAATCATAAAACGACTTACTATTGGATACGTGCAACCTGAAGTGACGATTTTTCTCGCTCTCATTTTCTCTCTCTTTCGTTCTCTCTCTCTCTCATTCATTCTCTCACTCTCTAGCTCACTAAATACTCTTTTAAATACAAATGGGTGAGAATACTATCTACAATCGCCTTTTTTCTCAGGTCTTTCGTTTTATATATGTCTCTCTCTCTCTGTGTCGCGTACCGTATACCACATATCGAATGGACGCCTTTTCCAATAGTACAAGCTTTATGATTTAAATTCTCGAGTTTATATACGGGCATTAACTGAAACGTGATCCTAAGGCGATCCTAACGACGATCGCACGTGGAACATATCTACGTCGAAGGACCGTTATTCAGCTTCATTTCTTTCTCTCTCTCTCTCTCTTTCTTCTCACCCCCTCCCTTTCTCCGTTTCACTTTGTGTATTACTATGATGGGTCTACTTGTGGTGAATATATTGTCGCTCTTTACCATACAGACACATGCGGCAGAAAATAGGCATTCTTTGTTGCGATAATACACTCTACATCGTTATTCAAAAGGAACTTCGAGTGAACTTTTTATTATACGCTTTATCCCTTTTGTTGCTTCTTTTGCTTTTTCATTTTTCCTCGTAAAGGCCAAGGTCGTGTACGCGCGCGCGCGCGTACCGACCTGTGTGGATCAAAAGTCCAATTTGAAGTTAAAACGGGAGGAATTTCGGTACTAACTCCGCTAGGAGAATTCGCGACGTTCAAGTCCAATCCACAGTGTGCTTTTTGCAATTAGAAATATTCTGTTTTGTATTATATAAGCAAATTAATATGCTGGAAAAATTGATCGACAATGTATACATATACAGTACATAATGTACATGCTTACGGTTTCAATTTGCTCCAAGTTTTTAAACATATTGATTGGTATGGATATCCACAAAATAGAATATTACTAGACGCAAAGAGCATATTGTAGATCAGGTTTTATACTCTTAAGACGTGAAAAATACGCGACGATAGGCCGTGGTCGCGCGGGAGTCGATTCGAAGGCAGGGGTGTCGTCACAAAGTTCTCGCGTTTTATCCGCCCCGCCGCAGCCACGGCGCTCCGCCGCTCCAATCGCGAACGATCGCACGCGAGATTGTCAGAGGCGCTAAACTCTTGCGGAATTGGGCGCGCGCGGAACTGCGGTGTCCAGCGCCGCTCTCCTTCTGCCTCTCTTTCATCTACTTCAAATGAAAATTCGTGAGAAAGCGGGAAAACACGTTGGAATAGAAACTACGCGGGCACTGCAGGTCGGATCTATAGCTGGCTCCGCTTGGCGCTACGCTGCGCGGATGATGGTGATTCGCCGTAGGTGTCAAGTAGGGTCTGAATAGTTAGGGTTTGCTGTTGTCGTTGTTTAATGACAACGGGTCGGCGAGCTTTTGCTGTTGTTGCTGCTGCTGCTGCTGCTGTTGTTGTTGTTGCTGCTGCTGCTGCTGCTGCTGGCTGACCTCGCTGACAGCGCCTCCGCTCATCAGCTTCGCGTTGTTGTTCTCTGTGGACATTTTCGTATATTCGCGCTTACGCAGCAAGTTCTCCGTTTTGACGATCGTGATGTCCGGGTTATTTTCCAACACGGACGTGGTGGAACACTTGGACACTGCCGTCGGCACCTCGATGTAGCCGCCGCCCTCGCGCTTAATCGACGTCGTGGTCGCCACGTTCGCGTTGATCTTCTGCAGGATGTCGTTGACGGACTCGCTGTTCTCCGTCGTCGTGGCTTCTGTCGCGTTGTTGTTGCTGCCGCTGTCGATGCTACCGCTGGACGCTGCGTTGAGGTCACCGGACAATGAGATTCTATCCGGGCCCTGCAGCGTTGACAGATAAGTCGCGAGCGTGTGGACGGTGACATTGAGGAACTCGGCGGCTCGGAATAATGTTATCTCCTTTCGCCGCAGCTTCGCCAGCACTTCCGCGGGGCCCGGTTCAGACCAAAAATCCCTTACTCTGAAAACATATGTCCGCATTATTATCTCAATTACTTGGACGGAGCTCTGCCGTTTACTTGTGCCTGCGCTAAAGGTCTGTGTCCACGACGCCAGAACCTGGTCCAAGTTCTAGCGTCGTGGACACAGGCCTTTACGCAAAGGACGTTCGGGGATTAGGACTGTTAGGTGCAAGTTTCGTCTGCACGCGCTCTTACCTGTACGGGTGTTTAAGGCAACCATAACTGTCGCGGTATCTGCCGTAGAGAGTGCCATAAGAGACGCCGAGGATCTCGGCGGCAGTCTTCATCTCGAGCTCTTTGCTCTTGATGGCGTCCATAACGCGGCGCGTGAACGGTTCCTCCCAGAACTCCTGTCGACGTCCCGTCGTCAAGTAATCGTTCATCTTTATTACGTCTCGGAATTGTTCGGGAATCGACAGATTTGTGGCGTTAGAGTTTGACGGAGTGCTAGCTGCTGCAATCGATATTCAAGTCAACATTTGTTTTGTGCTAGAATAGATACTGACGCGTCTCTATACGACCGGCGTTGAAAAAAAAGATGAAAAACCATGATTAGTTTTCTCGGAAAGCTGGTGTCTCCTTGATGGTTAGCAAGATTCATCGAAAGAATTCGGAATCGTCGAAAGAACAGAGTGTAGCAATTCTTTTTTTACGCCGATTATATAGAGGAAAGTCTCCTATTATGAGACAGGAGGATCTCCTAGTAGGAGATAGCGGAGTTTCTACTACATCATCAGGGCATCATCTGTTGCTTCCACTATGAAATTATTGCTCTTGGAGTGAAATCTCTCTGTTGAATAAAAGATTCATTGCTAGATTGCGTAATGGTTGCGAAAAGAGATTTGCGATTGAATTTGGATGTTGAAAACCTGCTATCTCATATTAGAAGCCTATCTCATAATCGGGGACTTTCCTCTATATTGTGACAAAAAACATTTAGAACAAGATTAGTTCAAGCCAGTATCTATTCTTTTAAGGAAGACGATATTCTTAAGTACGTGTATCGTGCGTGACTTTTGTTATCTTTAAAATGAGAAACCCTGTATAATCGAAACGGTAATGTAAAAGAAGATATCAGCATTTTGAACTGATCATTCATTTCTCTTCTTTAACCCGGACGTTTTCTTCCGTTCGTTTTCATCGGTTTTTTCTTATTTTTCTTTGACACACTTTCCCTTTTACAGGAATAAGTAGAACAATAAAATAGTTTTTTTTAATATGCAATTGCAATGAGAGACAATGATAATATTAATAGAATATAATTGTAAAAATAGAACACGCGAGGATGTGAAGTATATACAGAGTTTATAAATATACAAATCGGCACAATGAGTTGACAATTTGAGAAAGACTATACATGGCGCGTGTATACTACAGTGAGCGAAACCTTCACCTTTCTTTTCCTCGGATGCGTCGTCCTTGGACATGTAGGACAGCTAAAAAAAAGCACAATGGTCAAAATCGTGGAGAGTTCGTGGGAAGATTCGCGCAGTCTGAAATAGTCTAATCTGACGTTTGCCGCAGGAGAAAGTAGAACGACACTTCTTTTAATAGATTCAATTTAATTACGCGCGCTCATTCACGTCTGCACGAGTAGGAATCGTATATCTAATTCGATAATTAGATTTAATTATGGCCTTACCACCGGCAGTGGCGTTTCGTTAGTCTCGTTCATCATCATCTCGTCGTCCCAACTCTCATGGTCGCCGCCCTCGCTCATCATTTCCTCCTGAGAAAAGGTTCGACGTGACACATTAGAGTCGTGCGTGGGTATCTCCGCGTATGTGCGATACCCGCCGCTGCGAGTCTGACAAAATTATCGTATTTTTACATTCACGACGACGGACCGTAAAGTGTTCATCTTCAGGGTTCCGCGCGAGGCTCGATATCGTGGCACTGCAGATCTTTTCTCTTTCACCTGGTCATTTTAATCGTTTCTCTTTGCGTCTTTCAATAGAAATATTTTGAAAGAATTTTGAATCACGGCGCACGTTGTTAGGTTTCTGGACTTGTACTTGGGAAAGTTTATTTCATTAGAATTATAATAATCGTTTTGAATAATCGAGACGACAATGTAACGGAATGTCTGTTCAAACATCTGAGCACTTTCTCGACTTTATAGACTAATGTTCCATTGATATTACGAATACTTTGTTCAGAACACAATGTTCAGGATAAAAGTTTAACTATGATGCGCATTAGAAAATATTCTAAAAGAAAAAATATAATATTTACACAGTTACAATTAATACGAGACATTTTTATAAGGCAATACTACACCGAAAGAAAAATCTGGTTGCATTAATTAGAAATCTGGTACATTCAACCAGTCGTCTGTTAGAAAACGAACGAATCAGAATACGTTTAGGATTTACGACTGGACGTGTAGTGAGGTCTATCAAATTTCTGGCTATGAAATATCGAGCCCTGTAACTAGAAATTCTGTTTGGTTTAACCAAAATACGTTTTCATCGTGCAAGTCTTGTTGATACGATCAAAGCATTTTTCTCAGCGTAGCTCTTTTGACTTTTCGCGGGCGGATTTGCGAGATGCCGCTGCAACCAGGTGCCGAGTAGAGACCCTGTAAGCAGAGTCTGGCCATAAAAGTTCGTCAAACTCCTGCGAGTGAGAGAGAAACATAGGCTATCTCACTCTTCCACGATCGTAGAATCGCAGGAATTTGATGAACTCTAATGGCCGGTCACTGATTACAGGGTCTCTAGTGCCGAGCTTCGCACGGACCGTTCAGTCCGTACGATAGCGATAAGAGACACGTACGTTTCCGGTGATACAAGTGATCTTGGGTGTGAAGACGTCGTGTGCCGACGGTGGATCGTCCAGAGGCGGACGACCTCTGCGTCTCTTGTTGGGTGTCGGTTGAGTCTCGTCTGTTTCACCCTCCCGCAAAACCGTCTCCACGCCGGGCGTGCCGGTGCTGGGACTGTGGCCAGTGTTATTCAGGTCATTTTGCGTGGAGTCGCTGCGCCAGCTCACCTCGGCGAGCCCCTTGATGTGTAGATCCTCGGCGGTTTTCAGTAACGACGACAGCCTCGTCTACAAAAGCGAAACGGCCGGATGTAATTCACATTACCCCGATGTCCCATTTTTCTCTTCTGGCGATCGAAAATACCTCGCACGTAATCATCGTTGAAGCCATTATCGCGATTACTTTATTTACATTAAATATATTGAAATGTTATTTTTATATAATTTTGTAACGTGTCGGCGAGCAGAAAGGGGGAACGCGGGGTGAGATTAAAGGTAAAAGTTCAGAAAAAATGTAGATAGATATGCGTAGATAAGTATGACTTGTGCAACTGCGAAACTCGTTAAATCCGCTGTAAGCTCCACTGAGAGAAACTGAAAAAGCTGATTGCTTATTTATAAATAAGTAGAGCGAGATATTTACCGAGTTGTATAAACGGGAATGTGTCGCAATGATGTCTGAACTAAACGCTTAAATATGAAAATTTCGAGATACTAGTTAGGGCGCGTTCTACAAAAACTAATTTGCTCTGCGATGATATTAATTCGCAATATAACAGTTTATGTACAATCACATCTAATATAGCCTTGGCCGAAAATATTTTAGCCACCTACGTGAAACCTCGATAACTTTAAATTAATTCATAGTTTTTCGCAATAAATTTAAAAATTAAATAAATTAAAATTCGTATGGCTTAAATGTGATAAACACAAATTTGAAGGAATAAAGGACTAAGAGCCGCGACAGGGTGTTAGCGTCTAAGTATTTTATTCTAAATTTATTACGAAAAAATATTACCTCAGCCTCAACGCGAGGAGAGCTTAAAAATTAAACTCATTTAGACACTAACATCCTGCCTTGGCTCTTATATCCTTTGTTACTTCGTATACAAATTATTTTACATTCAGGTTAAATAAACAATACCAGTTGATGCAAATGGGAATATTTGTTGCGCGCCGATACGTAACAATAACAAAATAGTTGGTTAGAGTCGAAAGAAGTTATACTTCTAAAAATTGAATGGGGCAAATACTTTTGGCCAAGGCTGTATATACACTCAGTCCCAAAAAGCGGTACACCTAAAATTTGTCAAAAAATTACCAAATTTCGAATGACGATAACTATGCGAGTAATAATGATAGAAAGGTTTTTAAAAAAGAAATTGAAGGTCGAAATTTCTACTTTAAGAATCGATACATCAGAGTTTTGCGAGATAATTTTTTTCAAAATGGTGGGTGATAAAACGGGAGCATGCGAAATTGAAAATTTTTCATCCGAGTTTGCGACGATCCATGGCGAGAGG